TTTTAAAAACATAAACAAAATGACATTAGTCCCTACCATAGAACCTTCATAAGTTTTCCTACTGCATTTCAATGAAATCCAAACTCTTCCTATGGTCTATAAGACCCTCAATCATTATTTTTATTGTGCCTCAACCTCCTCTTCTTCACCAGACATCAGCCACAGTACTCCTGTGTTCCTTGAATTCACCAAAGGAATTCCTACCTCAAGGTCTTTGCATATGGTAGTCCTCCCACCTGGAATTCTCCCTTTCCAGATTTTTGCAAGAAAGGTCCCCACTCTTCATTCCTGTCAATGCTGGCTCTATAGAGGGCCTTCTCAGAAATGCCTATTTTGCTTCAAGTACCCCCTTCACTCTCTAATACCCTCTTTCATTATCTTCACACAGTGAAACTGTCTTATTGTTTTAATTGGTTTATCCTGGGCTCCTGCCTCAAGAAAGCAGACTCTGTGACAGGAAAGCTCTTATGTGCCTTGTCCATAGCTACACCCCTAGGTGTTGGCACAAAGTATAGGGTAGTGAATCTAAAAACAAAGACAAATACATAATAAATGGTTTGTTCCTTACATGAACATGACAAAACAATATGGAGTATATTTGCAGACTTCATGAAGATACTAAGTAAATATTTGTATCACAGATGAATGAACTGTTCTATTAATTATAGGACTCAGGTTTGGATTCTCACTCTGCCACCTACTAATCTTATGACTTTATTGAAGCTGTGCAACATGCAAACTCAATGTACTCAGCTGAAAAATGAAAATAAGTAATGGAACATAATAAATGAATCAAAAGGCATGATGCAACAGAAAGCAATGTTTAACTTAATATGTATAAAAAACCATATTTTAAGAATATGGTGCAGGAGTCGCAAGCTTATTTTGTGTTGTTTTCACATAAGCCTGAGGGAAACAACTCCTCCCTTTCCTTTCAAGTTGAGCATGTGTTGCCCCTTTTGGGTTAATTCTGGCATGATTTATAAAGACAAATATTATACCTTTGTTTATTGATTTTAGACTTGTGAGGTTGTCTAGAAGCAAGTGGCAATGTTTCTACCTATTGGTTAAAAAATACAGCTTATAATTTCTTCTAATCCATCCACTCTGCTGAGACTTTCCTCTACTCACAGCCTCTCTAACAAGAGAAAGCACTTACGACTGCAGTGTGTTTCTTACAGGACTCAAAAGGAAGAGAACCTTCACCAGTTCTCCAGCTGTCGTCACCAATCTCATCACTCAAGAGAAACTCGTTCAGCTTTTGAACACTGCAAAAAAACAAGCAAAAGAACACAAGACAACAGTTAATAATATAACATCTCCAGCAAAGTACTGCCTAAATAAATGCCCACCCTGTGTTACCATGGTGAGTAGCCTGTGAGAGTCATTTTTCAAGACCAACTGAGAATTCAGGTAGATGGACCAGACAGCCTAAGAGATTTCTGAGACATGGAAATCAGGACCATTGGTCACTCTAAATTCAGCAGAACTCCATTTGCTTTTTTTTTTTTTTTTTTTGCAATTATATTCCTTGTCAAAGATTCAAAGACAGTAGAGTTGGAACTTGGAACAGAGTGGTTAAAAATAACAATACCAATGAGAGAAGTACTCTCATTCCAATTTTATAAATGAGAAATGAGGTATGGAGAGGTTAAGTAACCTGCCTAAAATCACTTAGCATATAATATGCAGATATGGTGTCCCTGAACACTGTGTATCCTGCTCATGCTCTATATGTTACCCCTATTTTCTGAACTTGCCAAGGAGAAGACCCTCTATGGTCGTGCTACTCAAAGTGTGGGTCAGGGCCAGCAGCATTAGTGTCAGTTGAGAGCTTAATAGAAGCAAAAATATCTCAGTCTACATCCTTAAATATGAATCAAAATGTGCATTTTTAACAATATCCAGAGGCGATTCACGGGCACATGGTTGGGTGACAGGCCCTGCTCCAGAAGAGTGGTGTGCAAACATGTACTGCCCATGATCTTTAAGCTCTTTTGCCTTCCATGCTGTAGAAATCCACATTCACGCCAGTATCCACAGCTTTGAGACTTTGTGATCTGGGCCATTCTCACCGAGTTTAGGTGATATCTCAGGGTAGTTTTGATTTGCATTTCTCTGATTATCAGGGACGATAACATTTTTTCATGTTTGTTAACCATTCATCTGTCTTCTTTAGAGAAGATTCTATTCATTTCTGTTGCCCAGTGATATATGGGATTGTTGGGTCTTTTTTGTTGTTGTTGATTAATTTGAGTTCTCTATAGATCCTAGTTATTAAGCTTTTGTCCCATTCACAATATGCAAATATCTTTTCTCATTCTGAAGGTTGGCTATTTGCTTTGGTTGTTCTTTCCTTAGCTTTTCAGTTTAATTAAGTCCTAGGTGATTATCTTTGTCATTGTTGCAAGTGTCATGAAGTCTTCTTCATAAAAATCTTTCCCAGGCCCATACCTTCAAGTGTTTTCCTCATAATTCTTTCAAGGATTGTTTATTCTTTCATGTCTTAGATTTAAATCTTTTATCCATCTTGAATCAATTTTTGTAAGTGATGAGAGATGCAGGTCCACTTTCAATCTTTTACATGTGGCTATCCAGTTCTCCCAAAACCATTTATTGAATAGGGATTATCCTCCCCACACCCCCCAGTGTATGCTCTTGTTTGGTTTATTAAAGATCAGGTGGCTGGAAGATGTTAGTTTCAGCTCATGTTTTTTTTTTTTGTTTGTTTGTTTGTTTGTTTGTTTTATCGGTTGCCAACACCAATGTCTCTATTTTTGTGCCAATACCATGGTGTTTTTATCACTATGACCTTGTAGTATAGTCTAAAGTCTGGTAGGGAGATACCCCCAGCTTTGTTTTATAAAGAATTGCCTTGGCTATATGGGTTTTTTTCTGGTTCCATGCAAAATGAGGAATTAAGAAACAATAAAAAATCTCCCAAACTCTGGTCCACATGGCTTCACAGCAGAATTCTATCAAACCTTCAATGAAGAGTTTATACCCATGCTGCAGAAATTATTCCACAAAATTGAGGAGGAAGAAATCTTCCCCCAACACGTTCTATGAAGCAAACATCACCCTGATACCAGAACCAGAACTAAAAAGGAGAACTTCACTAATTTCACTAATGAATATAGGTGCAAAAATTCTCAATAAAATACTAGCCAATAGACTACAGCTGCACATTAAAAAAATCATTCATCACAATCAGGTAGGTTTCATCCCAGGGATGCAAGACTGGTTTAACATAAGGAAGTTCATAAATGTAATTCACCATATTAACAGAAGCAAAAACAAAGACCTTATGAGCCTCTCAACAGATGCAGAAAAAGCATTGGATAAATCAGCATCCTTTTCTGTTTAGAACACTTAAGAATATAGGCATTGGTGGCATATTTCTTAAACCGATTGAAGTCATCTATGACAAACTCCACAGCTAATATTATACTGAAAGGAGTAAAACTGAAAGCTTTTCCACTTAGAACTGGAACCAGACAAGGTTGTCCTCTATTGCCACTACTATTCAACATAGCGCTAGAAGTTCTTACTAATGCAATCAGGCAAGAGGAGGGGAAAAAGTGCATCTAAACGTGGCTAGAGGAGGCCAAACTCTCACTCTTCGTCAGCCATAGGATCTTGTACTTAGAGAACCCCAAAGTGTCAGGCACAAGACTCCTGGAAGTGATCAACAAATACAGTAATGTCTCAGGATATCCAATCAATGTCCACAAGTCAGTAGCCTTTGTACATGCCAATAACAGCCGAGATGAGAAGCTAATCAAGGACACATTTCTCTTCACAGTAGCCTCAAAAAAAAAAAAAAA